ATATACGTGAGGTTGTAAGTATGACATAAATATACGTATGCCGAGGCTTGATAGGGATGTATTCAATTTTATACAATTGAGATGTTCGTAAACATTCCTCTCCAGTAAAACATTGGTGGCTCACATTGGTGGAATATCCAAACTATGAACTCGGTCTATGCACACGTGTGGTATGTTCAAGTTTCCTATCGGAGATATCTTGTTGTTTGTTACGTAAAGTTTATATTTATTTACATATGTATATATATATATATATATGCGTACTTACATTATTCCTCACATCAGAGCACTGATTGTCTGAACGTACTCCTCCTCAGTCTGCTCCCCAAAGTCGAGAACGGTGAAAACGCTGCTATTTCATTGGTGGTCCCGGATACAAATAGCCGCATCTCATTGGCGCAGAGTGCTTATCCGGAGAGTTTTGATTGGAGGGATGTAGATGGTGTGAACTATGTGAGTCCCGTGCGCAATCAAGACAAGTGTGGTTCTTGCTACGCGTTCGCGGCTGCTGGTATGCTTGAGGTAATATACGTTTGTATATGTGTAGGGTTTTAGGGCTTATCATTGCCCTCTTAGTTGGGTTATGTTAGCATGCTTGAGGATAATATACGTTTATAACCAAGCTGAACTTCACTCAGCTGAACCCTCACGTATCTCGACTCTCATTTGGACGTAACCATAGCATCAGCACACTACATCGCATAGCCACCCTAACTCGGCCACTCATATATCTTGAACCACTCAGCTTAACACCACATCCCCAAATATCCCCTCTGCTGTATAGGCCCGTATCCGTATCGAGAGCAATAACGCGTTGCAGCCTGTGCTATCGCCTCAGGAGGTGTTGAACTGCTCGCCCTATACGCAGGGCTGTAGTGGCGGGTTCAGTTACCTAGTTGCAGGTGCGCATATATGTAACGACCTTCGGTTTTACGTACTGATCTTATATTATTGGCATTGAGTTTGCGTACTGATCTTATGTGATTGGTATTGAGTTTACGTAAACAAGTGTTCAATTGCTCGCCCTGTACGCAGGGCTATATTGGCGGGTTCAGTTACCTAGTTGCAGGTGCGCATATACGTAACGACCTCTGATTTTACGTACTGGCATTATGTTTGAGAATACGCACGGATTTTATGTGACCGGCATTGAGATTCCGTACTGATATTATTATCGTCATAGGATAACGTTATCAGCAAGCGTGTAATTGCCCTATAGGTAGGCTGCTAATTGCCCTCACTCTCTCTCTCTCTCTCGTTTCTTGTAGGTAAACATGCCAAAGACTTTGGACTTGTAGAGGAGGACTGCGTGCCGTATAACGGTATGTCATTGGACTGAGGTTTACGGTTCACATGTCTTATTTGTGTTTTACCAAAGAACTCTAAAACCCTTAAACATAAAGTCGGTTAAACCCCTATATCCCATGTGTGTTTTAGGGTTGGGGGTTGAGGCTAAAACCGTATATCCCATGTAATTGTTTGGTGTACGCGTGCGTATGCCTAAGTGTTTGTAGGGCGTACTCTCGTTTCTAACGTTTTTATAAGCTCATAGGTTGCTAATTACACATGTTGAAAGACGTAGTACACATGTATGTGCAATACTTTGGTACCGAACTTTCTTTCTCTAAATACAACAGGTGCGGAGAACGAGTGCCCTGCCGACAAATACAAAGAGTGCACGCGCTGGAAGGTTTCCCACTACAGCTACGTAGGTGGTTACTATGGCAACGGCGACGAAGAAGCTATGATCAAAGAACTGGTGGAAAACGGGCCCATGACTGTCGGTTTTGAGGTGTGTGCTTTGGGTTGTTTAATTCATGTGTACATAGACATGATATGATTCTACCTTCCTATGTCTACATACTTAAGAACATAGACATGATGTGACTATGCCTTCATATGTGCACTTACATATATACATAGACATAAAGTGACTATACCTTCTTCTGTGTACTTACATAAATACATAGTCATGATGTTCATACACCTTCGTTTATACTACATACCATTCAATTGCATTTCATTGCCCACTATATCATTATATTTAATACAATACATGCATGCTTCACAGGTGTACCCTGATTTCAAGGCATACAAGATTGGCGTCTACAGCCACACGGCCACCGACCCCAAACGTTCCACCAGCGACTTCTATGAGATTGTCAACCACGCTGTGCTTGGTATGATGTTTATGTTTCTAACACTTAGGGTATGTCTTCGTCCAGTGGTCGGAATGGCAATAGTAGAAGTATGGTTGAATGACAGTAGAAGTGTGGGGATTGCTATAGAAGAAACATGGTTGAATGACATAGTAGAAGTGTGGCTGTATGACAACATACATAGTTAAAAATGCACCCTGGCACGCACCATGATGTGTGTGGGTGAAGATTGTTTTTCCTAGCAACACAGTACTTATTGTTTAATTTAATTTCGGCTGCGCTTTCGTATAATCTCTGCAGTGGTCGGCTATGGGGTCAACGAAACGACGGGAACGAAATACTGGACCGTCAAAAACTCATGTATGTGTCTACGATATCACACATTTAACAGCTGAATTGCGAGCTGATTACTTTCCTGTGTAGTGTAATATATATAGAGAGAGATATATATATAGATATATATATATATATATATAGGCACTTGGATGGGTTTTCTGATGGATACCGTCGATACTTCGTCCTGTAAAGCCCATGTTTACCGAATGTTTTAAATTGTATTTGTATTCAAGTGCGATTGTGTTCAGGTGTGTCTGTAGTGCATTTTGCGCAAGCAGTGGTTGTACCTACTGATAATGCCTACCTATACCTAACATTACCAGGTCTTGTCCATTTCAATGTTCTATTTGTGTAGATTTAATAACAACTCGGGTTGTGATTTTGCGTTCAGTGATATCATGAGACACGATCCTGCTTGCGTGTGGTAATATATATATATATATACATATATATATATATATATATATATACTTGTGTATGTATGTATGGAATATCTTGCATAGCCATCAATCATATATAAACTGAAGAAATTTATGTCCATTCATAAAGTCTCATAAAGTTTATAAAGTCAATTCATATATATATATATATATATATCATTACCATTCCTGAACCATCCCACTCACCCGACATCATTCAATCTTGTTCTGCTGCAATGTACTTCATCAACTGAACACACATGCCTACAATGTGTCTCGTCTCTATTCCAAAACGTAATCGAACACTCATCGCCAAAGTTGGTTCTAGCATCGCCACGCGCTCACATTTGCTTTTTTGTGGCGTTTATTTTCCGACATAGGGGGGCCATGGTGGGGAATGGACGGGTATTTCAACATCAAACGTGGCTCTGATGAAGCGCAAATCGAAAGCATGCCTACTTCAGCTACTGTTATGCTACCGTAAACGGTATAGACTAACGCGATATTAAGGTGACGGTTGGGTTTTAAAAAACCTCAAACCATTATAGTCCTTATGGCACCATCCTATTTTCAGAAACACTTCACATGTTTACACCTATCTGGGTGTTGCGTTGCCTTTTATGGAGTGCACCGCGGTACTCAGTTTTTGTGGGTTTACAACATTACATTTGCACAGCCTCCAGATACTTCCCGTCAATGGGTTTTTATAATAAACAATACAATACGACAAATCACAACATAGACATACGAGAAAGAAACTGATTTCTTGTCGTTGACGAACAAAATGTCTACAAAATACTGAAACTGTAATCGTAAGTTCGCAACCATCAATAAGTTCTAAACTCTAAATTTAGAGAATTGGCTCTGCATACAACTATCTGTGGCGCCACATGCATATTAAATATACATCCTCATTGGAAATCGTCAATCGATTTGTTAAGGCGCCGCTCTGACCAATCTCATTCCCAGAAGTGCGATATTTTTATGACATGCACAAATATGTATTATCACACACACTCACACACTCACACTCACACATTTGCTTTCGAAATATATATATATATTTATACAGATATATAAAATATATAATATTATATATATATATATATATATATTGTGATATCTATTGCGATATATATTGTGATATATATTGTGATGGACTGTGAACTGAGTCCTAAGGTTTTAGGGTTAAGTTTTGGCCGACCCAATTCTGGGCCAGGATTTGGTCCGACCAGGCCTGTCATCAGTTTTCAGTAATTTGGTGTCATCAATATTTGATGTGAAAATATTGTACAAGTAGGTGCCATACGCTACCACACTATTATTATAACCTGTATGATAACTAACAATAAACTGTGATGTACGTCTGAAGATATACGGCTAGGAAGTACTCACAATATATATATAAATATAGATATATATATATATATAGATATATAGATATATATATGCGTGTGTGTGTGTGTGTGTGTATGTATATATATATATATATATATATATATATATATATATATATATATATATATATATATATATATATATATATATATATATATATATATATATATTGTATGTGTGTGATATGAACTGGGACTATTAACAATAATAACTACTGGGCTAGTGCTGACTAGACTCTCTCGTTCTATGTACTGATTAGTACGGCGGTAGGTCTACTGGCACTGGCCTCGTATTGTTCTCCATCCTTGTCGTCTGAAAAAAATCGTGGTCAATCTTGAGACCAAGTGGTCAGACTCCAGACCCTACACTCTAGACTCCGTTCGGGATAGGGCCCCTTGAGCCGAACACATGCCCCTCTCGCCACTGTTCCCTGTCGCAGGGGTCAGGATAGCGGACAGAGTGTACATCTGCCGTCCAACCCAGCGCCCTCGACTTGCCATTCACCACCCCCACTAGCGTTGCAACTCCCCGGCCGGAGGTATGCCCATTGGCATAAGCACCGGGTTCAACTGGGGCGCCGGCTGATAGACAGCCCCCCCCCCCCGGTCCATTGACCCTTCTGCACCCTTTTGAGGCTGGTGTCACACAATACCTCATGTATCTCCCACACTAAAAGACTAATTATTGATCTTCGCGCTGAAATGGCTTGACTTGGCGAACGCCAGTCTGCCAGACTCTGAGCAATCAGCGCGAACCTGGTCAACTGCGTTGTCTGGGATACCGCATCCCACGCTGCATGCAGGATGTCCTTAACGTTCGACATCAATTCATACTCGACGTCCCTATCCAGAGCAGAGAATGCTTATCCAGCATGTTGAATGCGGACGGCAGCTGCCCTCGCCATGCCTACTTCGATAATTTGGGGGCGTCATTTGGTGCAACGTGCACCGCCGCTCGTCCATGCGTGCTTGCCGAAAGGCGAACGGAGAATCTCGTACGAGCCACTAAACACCATAACGATGCACAGAGCAACCTCCGGGCATACCAGGTCGTAATACTCCCGAAGACACATACGATGGCACGACAACCATTTCGGTAAATACTGAATCGTTTATATCATCGCACTATCCATATATATCATCTTAGCATATACATGACACAAGGGAGAAGGCTGTGCCTGATCAGCTTTGACCTTGAACTTGACCTTATTACTCGATGCATAGTCGGAGATATCCACGCGGGCAGCGTTGCTCCGCTTCCATGGCCTTTCTGACATTCACATGCACATTATCATCGATTGGGATGGCAGCCGCCGTCTCCGGCTGCTGTAATGTCCTCGTAATACTGGCAATTCTTAGTCATTATGATATATGGCGCATGCACACGGGTGGACGTTGCCGCCGCATTATAAGTATTGTGGAACTTATATTTCAAGAGCAGCCAGTCCCCTTGCATACCGTCCACCTAGGACTTGATGATCCAGTCCTTCAGCACCTTTGGCGCGACTTCGACCGCAGCATTTGCTTGGTGGTAGCCTGCGGTAACCAGATTCACCTTCCCAGCATGGCTCCGCGCAAACTGGCGGATGTCCGGCCAATCCAAAATCTTATCCTGGGCAATCGTGTAATTCATGAGCTAACTCCAGGGCTGAACATGCTCCTGCAGAAATTGCTTGAACTTCCTGCTGCTCTTTGACTTGAAAGGCTTGTGCAAAATTATGCCTGTTTTTGCTCTTTGACTTGAAAGGCTTGTGCAAAATTATGCCTGTCAGCTGATCCATCAGCAACAAAAGATAGGCAAAGCCTTCGGACGCTCGAGAAAGGTTGGCAAAATATATAAACAGCGTGCTATAACAGGCCCCATGTACGCCCATACTGCTGTATGAGCCCATATTGATCCGAGCCACTTGGCTCATTCATCTGACAGGTGTGGCACGACTTCCGACAGCCTGTGCCAGGGTTTCAAAATTTGTCCACCTGCAAGGCTCCTGGAGTTTGCCAAACACCTTCTCAGCACCGACATGCATGCAGACATTGTGGATCGCACTCACCATGCTGCGCACTTCAGGCGTTGACAGCTAGTGACCCCGCAGCACATACGGTGAGTCGCCCTGGCGCGCTAGCATCACCTCGCGCGCCTCTTTCAGCTGCTCAAGCACAAATTCATCTCCTCGTGATCATGCCGCAAGAACATATCTTTCTGTGGTGGAATGACGGCTGGCCCTCTCGCCAACAACTTATCATCATGTTCCACCACTCTGCTTGGGGCGTATAAGGACACATGAGTGTGATCCGCCACTGCTCCGCGATAATATTGGTCAGGACACGAGGAATCAATTCCCACGGTAAGTTGGCCAACATGTTAAGTCCCGCCCAGAGCTATGTTAACGTGTCCCACCCTCCGCTCTCCCATTTTCCTGATCCATGAATAGAGAGAGATACTTTGGGATGGCCTGATTGCTCGGCAAGGCAAACGCATTCATATGGGGCTTCCACGCCCAGTCCGCTTCGATGAATACAAAGTTGACAGCTTTGTACTCGTTGGTGCGCGCCCGTGTAATCCGCGCAACAGAGAACCGCCACGTCACCGGACGCCTTGTGTTTGTACCCTGCCCCACAACTACTCCATGATTGAGTACACCTTTGCCATTGGGAGACTCAGCATATCCGCTGGGGTGTTGTCCACGCCCCGAACATAAAGGGGTAGAAGATCTATGTGCCAACACCCCTGGACTACGTGGCAAACTCATCATGATGCCACATAGACAGCAAGGTCTCGTTATCCAAAGAAAAAAAAGGTCGAATGGTGAGAGCGCTTGTACATCGACCACAGCTTGCGAACGCCGTACACTGCGCCAATCACTCCTGGTCTTTCACACGGTAGTTATGTGAGTAGGTGCAAACTTCGTCACAAATAGGTCACCGGCTATAACTTCCCGTCACGGAAGACATATGTATCTTCCCCTACACCAATATGCTCACACACGTTCGCATATTGATACACTGGCTCCTCCGGCCGTGGCTGGACCAAGTCTGCGCACGTACTTAAGCGTCCATTTTTCATACAAAAGGCCGTCTCCTACGGCGGACCATACTCAAAAAATTATTCCATCCTTCATCAGCTTCGACACAGGGGCCACAATCTGTGCAAAACATCCGATATATCTCTTCCACAACGCACCCTATCCTGGTTGTCCGGCCTATATCCAGCGACGGGGCAATCCTTTACGTCATACTGTTGGCTTACCGCCAGCCAAGGAACGTATCGCAGGCCCTACTGTACATTATACTTCTCACAGCGCTCAAATAGCTCCTCCAGGTATTGCCAGTGCTGCTCCACCGTATCTGAGGCAATGGCTATGTTAACGATATAAAATATAACCCCCTACTGTGCATTAAAAAACCCGACTAAGGATATCCTAGAATGTCAAAAGGCCGGCAACGAGGTATATCGAGTTGATTATATAGTTTCCGTGCATCTTCACTTGTCAGTCCGAGTACGCTGCCAATACCGCGAACAGAACAGTGTTTACGGAGCGTCTCTATGTCATCTTGTAGAGATTCATTCACACTTTTCAAATTCTCCTTGCAATATCTGCGGTACATTTATTAGAGTTGTCTTGCACATGTGTTGTGTTTCCTGTACTTGTCAATGCAACGGGTTGATCTTTTTTCTTATTATTTTTAACTCATGCTCAGAATGACAACAAATGCAGATGCTTTCCTATTCAACACCACACTCTTGATTTTACAAACAATGATGAAAAGCGTGCTTAGTAGTCGTGATACTATTCTTAAGCTTCGATCTCCATTGCACGTAGAGCATGTATCCTTAAAACTTTGAAGAGCTCGACATGTACCTATTCTATGCATCAGTATGATGCGAACTACCTTCAAACCCACTCAGCTGACCCAAGAAGACTAGCAGACCCCTGTCGTTGCATATCTCGATAATAATATAGAGCAATAGTACAGCCGTAATTACTATTGATCACGAGGCCAAGTTAGGCATTTTCGATCTAATTTTGCTATTAGTGCACACGAATAACAAACAAAAAAATGTTGTTCGTCGTTGTGACCTTTACCGAGGGTAACAGTGCCAATACATGTTGCACAGTTCAAGGGATAACTTTTTAATAGTTCGTGAACTGCATATCCTGCAATATAAGGTAAAGTCGGATCTTGTCCAGCCGTATGCGCAAGCTTATCTCTAAAGTTTTGTAGATATTTTCACTGCAGACATAGTTTTCCAAATTATGTGTTCACCAGGGCGTTAGTTTTGGCATGTATGCAATGAAATGGCAGCTTTTAGAGTATCCTATTATGGCTATGATCTTTGTTCCTACATAGTTCATACATAGCATGAATAAGCAAAGTTCTTTATGAATAAATATATTATGCAACTGTGTCTAAATGAGTATTTCCGCCAGCCATTGAACGAGGCATGCACAAGCTCATTTCAGTGGGATCATTATTAATCCGTACGTACCTTCTATGTAGATTTTCCAACATGTACCGGATACAACGCGCCAGTCCTCGCAAGGTGTGCGATAAAGTGAAGAAAGTCTCCGGTGTCAAACCATCTTTCAATGGCTTTCGTCCGCGTTTTCCATTTCCATGTATGTTTCGTCGGTATTGTTGCTTGTGCTAAATGTACCTGTACCTGGCTGAACATCTTCGATATTTGTCTGACCATTCTCAGCATACTCCTGATCGTTCTATTCGCTACTGTTGAATTTTTCACTTTTAGTATTTTCGTGCTTGTAGTATCTAGTACAACCAGCTCGTTGATAAAATTTTGCATCTCTTCATCCGAGAATGTATACCAATATGTTCAGATACATATAAATATACATATATCACAAGTGTTCATCTGCGCATACCGATTGGATTAGCTTGTACTTATTACTTGCCTCCTTCGTGCTTTCGATTGATGACGCTCCGGATTCGCCAATTGTGTTGTTGTCACTGTTTGGGGTCGTATAGGTCCCATACCACTCTTGCAGCTATGATGCAACCTCTTCCGCCTCTGTCAATCGTGGGTCAGCAGGGTCGGTAAATGTTGCTGTGTGAGGTAACCTTTGTTTCTATTTTTGGAAGTACTGATTGTTTGGAAAGGTTCAATAATAAAATCATTGACTTTTCCCAGGCTTGTACATGAAAACGGCAGGAAAGCAGGGGTAACTTGTTGTCTCTCGAGCGTATGGGCCAGCACAAGCGCAAATAGTTGATCCTTATAAAGATGGTATAGTTCTCGAATTCACTGAATATCGCAAATTCCTCCGGGCAAAGTATACCCTGTAGATAGGGTCATATCTAGATACTTGAAGTTATGTCCTGTACGAATTGAGTTATTCCGAATACACTTTATAATACGTATAAGACAGTACAATTCGGAGAATTTCTGGCCATTGACATCAACACTACTCGGTAGTGATTGTTGAGGTAAAACTAATCGGCGACCAGGTGGTTCTGAACTTGTATTGCGTAGAAGACGCATCCTTCATGCCTTCATATTCACAGCGCTTCCATAAAAAAAAATTATTAGACGCAATAACGCTGGTTTCTTGGGCTTTTGTAATCGCCGTAGATATGTACCCACTAAATTGTTCGCCTGTCATGTTAAATAAAGGTACGTTTAGACATCAGATTAATTGAAAGCTTTCATCCGCTGATCGGTATCATCAAAAAAGATTTGCATATGGTTGGTAAGTACCTCAAGGCCATATGGGCTGGACCGTTAACCGTCGACAATGTATCATACATACAGCATCACGTACTATGCTGGCCCTATTTTCTGGGTTGAGACCTGTGCTTTTACTTCGTCGTTTTGTTGCCTGCTATCAAATAGCAATCATATATTTGTACTAGACTTGTTTATACTACCATTTACACACATGCGGATTCAGTAAGCGGGAAGTGCAGTATTGTTTGTTTGTGATAATAGAGTTTTGGCATCAAGCAAAACCGTAAGCAGTGAACTAGATTTATAGATTCGAGGTTTCTTTGTATAGATGTGGTGTGCATAGGCCTGCACAAGGAAGTTAAAAAGGAAACGTCGCTTGTATCGACTGGTTTCATAGTAGAACACTGCCCTGTCTTTGCCATTCTCCTTTATATTGGTAATCGCCTCTTTTTGGTAATATATCACGAACCGATTTGGGAGTTTGGACTGGTTCCGTGCAGGCTACCTGCATATCTGTCGTGTCTTCGTGACAAACGCGCTGTAGAATACCGCCATATGTATTGGTGTCATCGAGTATTGCTTCTTATCGTAAAATATATGCTTTGCTGAACTATATGAAGGTGTGTACATTGACACACTCACGAATTCGGATTGTATACTGGGCACGAAGTGTATGCGCTGCACTAACGGAGTTCTACTGACCTCGGAATAGATTGATCGTGTAAGAAAAAAAATCGTTTTGGTGTTGCTCCTCAACAGTCAAATGTATGTGTAGTCACGGCAGTATTGAAATCGAATTCCGCAAGTTTCCGATCATGTCTTGTTCAATGTTGTGTTAACTCTTACTTGATACACCTCATCTACTACATACGCTCTCTGTCGTGCTCGTTCAGCTGCTTCATTCGTCTTTAATATTTCATTCCCTGTACCTATCGGCTCAAGAGTGCACAGTTTCCTATAGTTGATCAATAGCTGTTGATTACACTTTCTCTTCAGTTACCGGCGTACCGTTGTGAGATAGTGGCTTTTAATGCATAGTTGTTATATTCCCATTCTCCTTTGCAACAAGCACGGTTTTGTGGAAATGTAATCACCTCACTCCCAATACAGATGACAGAGAACCGTCAGGTTTGAATTGCCGAAAGCAAGCTTCTATCCAAACTTGTCGCATCTGATTGTTTATTTCGATCTTCAGCCTCGCTTGCTGTGCAGCCTTCCTTGATTTCGCCTTATTGAAAGCATTGTGGCGAGGTATCCGCAAGAAAGAGCCTTAACCCCATCACAAATACTACCCGTTCTATTCCCGCACGTAACTACACAACACACATTCATTCTACACAATAATCGTTTATCTAAGGTCGTTCAATTAAGTGTTTCCGTCATTCCAGTAGAAATTATAAACTCTAAACTCTGAAGTCTTGTATCCAAAAATTTGTATGCCAGTCCCAAAAATTGAAACGACGCTTTACTTGTTTGCTTCAGAAGGCTAAGACTTACAGAGCAAAAGAATTTACTGGGAAATAGGACATGTCGAGTCCTCCTGGTCAGCCAACTACATGTGCCAATTTATGACTTAAGGGGATGGAAAGCTAGATACCAAGTGATGGCGTTTTAGATGCAGGGCAATTACTGCCCCAGCTTGGTGTTAAGTTGAATTTAGAAGTATTTTATTGACAAATGAATGGAACCAATGAAATGAATCCAATCTGTTGTACTCACCAGATAAATCTAGACCGAAGTAGTTAAAACATCGTAATTTCTTTAACTCAACGTTTAGTACGAAATAGTCAGCCTGGTCAAGCCAACTTTACATATTAAGCTTAATAGCTATAATACTATGACGAAAGTCAAGGGATCGACTAAGGCGTCGACATGCTCGTCAATAAGACCAGGTTGCCAAAGTTATCAGTACAATTAGAGGAGACTGACAAGGAGGTTGGCCCGACACCTGATATAGGCGTAACAGCTAAGCGCAAAATTACGCCGGAATTTGGAGCGACGGTAGCAGGACCTTCTGGCTCTATTGCGTTCAAACTTTAAAAAAGTGTGTGAAACAACATCGTTAATCTTTTAGAGAGCGACTCAGAGAGTGCTCGACATGCATTGGAGGATTTGGTATCATCATCATCAGATCAGAGAGGTACTAGAACTACTTGGCGTTCAAACATGCGCGAAAGAAGACCGCAACTATGGGGGCACTCAGACATCAATTGAGAGAGCGCAAGCCGAAAGCGAAAGAGGCTGCTACTGCTGGGGAATTCGACAATCATGACGTGAAGAAATCATCAGTGGGATTCCACAATAAATTTCGGGAGCTGAAGAGACGTTATAAAGGATTTCAACGGAAAAAAGTGATCGAGAAGAAGGATTCTGGAAACGAGCAATAGGGTTTAAGCAAAGGAATTGCCGATGAAGCAGAAGATGATCTTTCTGATGACGACGTAGCGAGATGAAGATGTGTCTGATTCTGAGATCGGCAACTTCTACAACGACGCCCGTTGGAGGAAAGAAGCTCAGCTTTGGTATTCAATGGATCAATGAATGCTATGGCTCGGATGTCCGGCGACAGGGAGAAAATGAGATTACCACAAGGCAGCAAGGGTCGAACCACTATCTTTTTCCGGACGTACATGATGGAGTATTGTCGTCACGATACATGTAAATGCATGCGGCTATAAGGTATTTCAGAAACGAAATATTTCAGGACGCGATGTTCTCTAGGCAGTTTCAGAGACGACCACCTACAGTGTTGTCAGCAAAACATGATGGCGCTATCAAGGATTACCTTGTCGATTTCCCAACGTTGATAACCGATCCATTGATACTGCACAATGCGGTTGTGACCTATGAGATTGTGTCTGATCGAGAAGATACGTTGCTGCCTCATACAACTAGTTAAGAGTCTCCGAGCCCTCAACCGGCAGCAACGTGTCATTCTGTCCGATAGTTGCTGAAGGAAAGACTCGTAGGCAAGAGCCGGCGACTAAGGTCAACCCAACCTTCCGAGACAGAAAATAACTCAGTCTCCGATACCTACTGTACTCCCCGGCAGCCACCGACTCTCCAGCAGCAGTCTGAGGCATCATCTGTGGGGATAACGTCACGTTCTGGAGAAGTCGATGGCAATTTTACAGCAATCAGGACATCTACATTTCGTGCTCCTAACTGGAGAAGCATGGATTGTAGAGTTTACAGCTCGTGTGGAGCGTGCACGATATAGTGCTACTACTGCAATAGATACACACTAGCACGAAGAGGCCAATCTGTATCTATCAATAGTAAGGCATAAGCAGTCTAAAAATTCCAAACTGCGCGTCGTTCAGATTGAAAAAAACTGTAGAGAACAAAAAGTTCGTCAAGGATTTAGGTAAATTGCCAACAATGTACCGACCGGATCGAACGGCAGGAAGGGGCCTATCGATACGAGTAATTTGGCAAGTTTGTCTAGAACTATATTTGATTTGGTCAGATCATACTTACAGCAAACTTCCGCAAGAATCTTTGGATCGAGGCAACATATCAAAGTTCTAAGCCGTTCTCTCAATATAATTATATTAGTTAGAAAAAGCGAAAGTTACTGTCACGCAGCTGAAGACGTGAAAAGAGCAAAGCGAGATGATTATCTAACTACTTTCGACGGACACTGGACCAAAAATACAAAGTGGTCGCGTGCCCAAACTATGGACATGTCCCAAGGAAAGTTCAAACATGTATGTACTACGGATGTAGACTATGTTCTGGTCGATTATTTATAGAAAAGATCAAGAGATATTGTATGCAGATATGCTTAATTTCTGATTCAGACAAGGTTCGTGAGATTTCAGTTGATGGACCTAGTGGTATCGTGAAAATGTCCGACCTGATTAGGACTGAATTTTATTCGCGAGCAGACACACTAGACTTTTGTGAAGCGTTCTAGTTCAACGCAAGAGGATAATCAGGATCAGTTAATAGTCGAGACTCTACTTCGGCAAGTGGGCAAAAACAAAGGAGGAAAATATGATAAAAGTGGATGTCATTCAAAAGCACATCGAAGAGCCGATGCTCACAAAGCTAACATCAATTTTTCCACTATCAAAGGCGCTCAGCAATCATGACCAGCCAAGCCTCAACATAATAAGACTAAGAACTGCATTGAGGCAGAATACAATTGTACAGTGATCCAGCACGACCCTATTGGCAGATGGAACGGTCGACACAGGGAGAAATGTGAGCATTTCGATGAGAAGTGTAATGATTGCGCTGGCACTAGAGGTTTTCACATGCAGCAGCGTATGATTCAACCCAAGGTCGGGGTCAAGTGACAGACATACTAGGTCTTGTAACTGAGACAAAAAAATTCGCCTGAAAATAAGTGCGCCATCCTTGATGCACACGTTAATGAGCATGAAATAAAACAGTCGTTAGATCCTGGCTCAAAATTTCATGTATAGCATCACGTTTCTGTAAGATAACGGACGTTACTTATAAATCATAACCTACTATACTGAAACTAGCTGATGAACGTAAGTCAGCGTGTCGAGACGTGGTAGTTGATTCAAAATTTACGTTGTCTGGTCAACTGTTGGTTGTCACGAAAGCAGTAATCGTCACCAAACTATGACTTGATAGTAGGCATGGGTGTTCGTTTTCGGATGTAACTATTACTGATCTACAGATAGATCAATCAGACGATAATCTGTTGAAGCCTGTATACAAACCTTTTAATGCTGTAAAGGATATGATTCCACATTTTGACGGAGAAGCTAAAATATTTGCCTTTTGAGAATATGTAGAAATACGGCCTCCGG